TTATAAGTTGATACAGTGAGGAACAGAATAACATTGTTTTTGATAAGTTTAGAAACGCACATTTAGTTTCTCGTTTACGTTCCAAAACATTTTCTCTAAGGAAAATTTTATTCAAGAAATAGATCGCAAATGCCTCAAAATGGTTTCGGAATGGCCATGGAGTAAAATATTCCTCGGAGAAGATTTAAAGCGTAACTCTAACTTTAAATGCGTGTTACTAGACTCTGAAATAAAGACTGAAATAAAAGACAAAGCGTCGCAACCATTCCGTGCATAACTACGCGTACAACAAAGCTCAAAAAGGGAGCTCAAAAAGTAACATCTGTTTAAATAAATATATTTATTAATACATGTAATTTAAAATATTTTCTCTATTTTCACAAGGTATTAAATAGGTATATAGGTAAACATATTCTAACACGTGTTATGATTCATATTTTTTATTAGTAATAAGTCCAATATGGCAAATAATTATATGTATGTTACTTATTTATTCTGCCTTGTATCCAGATTAGAAAGATGTTAGAAGAATACTCGGAATATATAATCAAAAGCAAAATTCGTAACTGCTTAATTCCAGTGCGTAACTGTTTACATATAAGTACATAAAGTACCGCATCTTCGAATAAACTTTACATAAAGAAACTTATCGATTACCATTTATTGCGTTTTGCGACTGGAGACGAACGTTACACCGAAATTTGTTCTTGAATCCAGGGTACGTATTTGGCCACATCGACATAGATGACGTGTAATCGTGGATCGCAGAAGGCATAGCCGGGTGGAACTAAAATTCCCGCAATAATGCCACGCAACTCATAACTGCCAGTGATATTGTTTAGAAGTATCATCCCGTCCCCACTGTTACCCCAACAAGGACGGTTGTTGTCAAGGGAACGAGCACAATAAGTATTATTTGTGGTCACATAAGAGTATCCAATATCATCCTTGATACAGTCCTCCTGTAATTTGTGCAACCAAATTCACCTCGAGACCTTCAATGACTCTGACATAAACATATGTTAAAATTAAATGCAATAAACAGTAATTTTATAATGACAATTGACTACTTACTAGACTCATTATCGACGCCTTCAACATCCGTTGTAATTGAGAATCACGTTGCTCATGCTCGTCTTTACCCCATCCTACGGTGTATCCTACCCTATTAATGACTTTTTCAAATGTAGGTGAACCAGACCATAGACAAATAGGCCTGATAAAAGGAGTGAACTCGACGGGGCTCTCGAGGGTCAAAACCGCCATATTGAAATCAGTGCTAATATAGTGCTCATAATCGGGGTGAATCACGTAGCTCGCGACTTTACGTATGGCAGATCCTTCTCCTTGCACTTCGAGCAAGTGATATCGCCCCAATACCACTTGTACCAATTTGGGGTCTATTGTTTCGTTGGTAGCCCTTGTTAGTTTCATGACGTCCGCCCCTGTAAAAAAGACACACGTATGAATTATATTTTGTGACTGTCTACACTTTCTATCCGGAAGCATCCTGTATTACATACATCAAGTGTGATACTCAGGAATTAAATTAAATATATAATATTTAATTTAGTACAACAAAATATATTTATATTATTAAATCATTTGTAATAAATATTTATATTATTAGATCATCCTTTTTATAAATATCGCAAGACATCCTGAACGTATTGGAGATAATCTCGCCGAAATATTAAGTTATTTATGTAATTATCCCAGACACCTTATCATTGATTCCCTGATTATGTTTCAATGAATTGTGAATAATTGTGAATAAACTATATCAAAAATTAAGAAATCCTTTCTGTTTCTGAATATGAACAGATGAAAATTAAAATTTTACTATAATAAACATTCCAGAAAACATACGTAGGACGAGAAACTCACTTATAATTAGATATTATGAAAATATTGATTTTTCCCGATTAACATACCTGTTATTACATGTCTGTTTGTCAGAAGACTACCACCACAGTAAAAGAAACTGCTTGAATACGATTTTTCTTTTTTAAGATGGTAGAGTGCAACTACCCACGGCCACTGACCCGGCAAAGTGGTTTCACCGTTGGGGATCAGACTATTTGTGCTATCGGTATAGTAACTGGTAACACCGCATACGGCGTTGCTGTCATAAGTTGGATTCTCTATGCTGTAGCTACTCGAATTTCGAATCCACGGCTGAAAATTCTTCGACCGTGGTTCTTTGTCAGGAGAGTACACAATATGCCCCACCTCAATATTGGCTACGATACTTCCATTAGACGCTGAAAATGCGACGGAACATATCTCTTAAATCGCACATTAACTTAAAATACAAAAAGAGTTTTTACTTTCTTTCGAGAATAGAAATAATTTCCATACAAAATAAATACTAGTAAAATTCTTTCTACCTAAAGATAGAAAGTGATATACATGACAAAAAGGAAATTGCGATTGTTGTAATAAGGGTTTTACTATTTATCTCCTAATATAGTACATAAAAATTTCCACGTGGTCAGATGCGAGTAAGAATTAACTTCATTTAACTCGAAAAAATTAATGACTATTTCTCGCGTGTTTTTCCACAAATATATGGATGTAGTATTTGTCATGCATTTCAATCAAGTGCAATACTCACCACCGGGGCCGAAGCAATATTGCCGATTGTTAAACCATATCGCGGATAGCGTCGGAAGACCAGCGTCCGTAGGAAAATAAACATGATACAACAAATGTTTGTTTTGTTGAAGAGCTTGAACGGACTCTCTTAACGGTCGTGCCAATTCTACTCGACATAAGTGTTTCTAGAACGCAACGATGATTCAGATATTTATAATAAATGGATAATAACTAACAAACAAACTTATACTGCACATGTATTCTGCATTCTTAATAATATTAAAAGTTTAAAACACATATTTACCGGCGAATTAGCGGTAACGTTTAAGGCTACTTTAATATTAAATTCGTCATTTTCGGGTTGAGATATGACTTCGATTCGTCCCAATACCTTCTGTGTTTCATAGTCTATTGTGAATGCGAAGTATTCCGAGCATGAAGTTGTACCACGTATCACAGCACAAAATAGCCGCGGCAGCAACGCGAATAAAATAAAAATCTTAGACATGTTACGAGTCCTCCTGTTACAAAAGGGACAAAAATTTATATGTCCTAAGAAATACTACAAATCTACCGTGACAATGCAAATTTCTACTGAGAAACTCACTAACATACTTTGACAAAAAACTCTGTACGATAAACTAATAATTTATTTAAACGTTCTGTATAAACTCAGATAGGAAACATAGTTATATGAATATTCTTCTGAAGTGCATATTTTAACAATTAATAACTCTTTTATTAATAAATCTCTTATTAGTGCCGAGCGACGATTTTAATTTTAAAGACTCGTCTACACGACAAGACGTAAGGCGCGGCGCAAGAGCGTAGGCACAGGCGCAAAAGGATTTTCCTGATCGTATGGGGCGTGGCGCAGCAGCGTAAGCGAAATAAAATGCTTTTAGTTCCAACGCCTGCACCTGCGCCCTTGCACCGTTCCTTACGCATTGTCGTGTAGACGAGTCTTTACAGACAGAGGGGCAACCTTGCCGATTTGACTTCAACTTTGCAATATTGAGTATTTCGATGCGTAAAACACACAATATTGCAAAGTTGCAGTCAAATCGGCAAGGTTGCCCCTCTCGTTCAGTATTACCATTATTTTCTCCTTAAGGACTGTCTTACTTACTTATTCATTATTTATTCATACGTATTCTTTTCTTGCACACTATTTTAAGACACTATTGCAAAGTATTATAAAGAACTTATTGGTCTAAAGCGAAATTCAGTACTGCGACGGTTGATTTAGTATTCTACTCCTCGGATTTACAACGCTACTGCTTCACTGGATCTTGATGATACTAATAAGACCTCTATCGAAACGCGGTTATACTAAATGGGAAACACATAAGCATATGCATAACAAAATTGATAGGTTCAGGAGCAAATGCCTAAGGAAATGGATAACTCAAACTCCTTATGCACGAGATTATGCACATATGCAGCAACTACATATACTCCCCGCTTCATCATGATAAAAACGCGTCAGAGTAATGCAGTCGTAGAGTACTGAAAGTAATCAAGTGCTGATAAAGTCGATCCCTGTCATTTAGTTTAGAAGGTAGAACACAAATCCTATATTAACACAAGGAAGAAACATAGAGGACAAACGTTACTGGAATATCCTCCGGCTAATTTCGCAGGAACAAAATTGGGGAATCCACAGACGTACGTCTAACGAATTAGCTAGCTCGACACCGTTTCACCTATGAGTAGAGAGTCTGAAAACTCATGTGAGTTTTTTTCAATTACATGCTTATCCACTAAATATTGCCTAATGCTTACCAAATCTTATACAATTATTCAATACACTCCTTCTGTTCATTTATTAAGCTAAGTCCCGATTGAAAATTTTCATTCTAACATTTGACTACCTTTGTTGAACGGACGTGAGAGAAATTTTATGTTTTACTTGATCTTACTGCATTCTAGTAAAATTCAATTAGAAAACGTCTAGTAAAAAATTTCAGAGAACTTATAAGGTAAAATCATGTACTGCAAATGGCAATAATAATGTCTGTATTTCCGTAATTTATTTAGCATACGTGTATGTACATATGTTGATAGTATAAATTATTTAATTTAGCGGGTACGGTATAATTGAGAACGTAGGCAGTATTAGATCGTAATCTTACTGCAATTTTTATAGACTGTACTTTTATTTCTTTTTTTACTCATTGTTAGTTTTCCACAACTTGTTGCTACGATCAGCGGTGTCTTAAAAAAAATAACAAACTGCGCATATTTCCAAAAAAATATTTTTAATATACACACAGGGAGAGAATTTTCTCTTAAAATTTATCCTGAAAATTATGCATTTTGTGACGACAGACCAACGTCGTTACACCGAAATCTCTTGTTTAATCCATGGTATGTATTTGGCGACATCAACATATATGACGTATTTCCGTGGATCGCACTCAAATGTGTCATTTACATAGCCTATGGACCCCGAAACAACACCGCGCAACTGATAACGACCCGTGATATTATTCGGAAGCATCAGTCCGGTTCCACTGTCACCGCGACAAGGACCCTTATCGTCTGACGACCCGGCACAAAAGGTACGTTTCGAGATGAACCTAGCGTATCTAGTATCACTCGAATTACAGGTCTCCTACAATTTGTGCAACAAAATTCAACTTGCAATAATTCTGACAAATCTTTGTGTTATGTTTATATGCAATAAATAATATTTCCATAATAGCAACTGACTGTAATTGATTACCTGGCTCACTATCGTTGCTCTTATCATCCGTAGTTTATTAACATCACGATGACCGATCGCGTCTACACCCCATCCTACAACATATCCTGTTCTATTAACAACATTTTCAAGATTGGCCGAACCAGACCATAAGCAAATAGGTCTGATTAAAGGATTGAACTCGACGGGGCTCCGAAGGATCAAAATCGCCAGATTGGAATCGCCGCTATAAGAATACGGCACATAATCGGGATGAATCTTCAAGCTCAAGACTTTCCGACTGGCAGTTCCATCTGCGTGTAATTGCGTCAAATCAAATATCCCCATTGCCACTTCCAACTTGTTGGGGTTTATTGCAATGTTGGTAAGTACGTTCACCACACAGTGAGCCACTATAAAAAGAAAACATATACATGAATTAGTTTTTTGTAGAATCCACACTTTTTATTCGAAAATGTAACTTTGCAAGCTCTTCCAGTAATATGTTATACATATACATATACTATACATAATATTCTCGAATTAGATTAATTGTCTTAATTTAGTGAAATAAATATGATAAAAACTAATTACGTATGTATACTTATACAGGTACTCAAGACGTCTTGGATGTATTAAAGATAATTTCGAGGAAATATTGTACTATTTAAATAATTATTTCAGATATTTTATTATACAGGGTGTCCCATTTTAACTTGGACAGTAAAATATCTCGAAAACTGAGCCCAGCAGACAAAAATGTTTCAGACAAAAGTTGTATGGTTTCGAGGGGGACATAAGATGGTACCATTGGTTTGGCCTTCAAGAATTATTTGAAGGTCACATAAAGGTCACGCCAATTTTTTTAAATGCTGTTCCTTATTTTTATTACATATTCTTGTAGCTGACCTCGAGAGCTTTCCAAAACGCTATAATAAAGTATTTTTTTTATTAAGAACTTTTTGAGTTATTAAGGTTTGAAAGTTCCAATATTTTGACATAAATTACAAAATATCTTGTAAAATATTCATTTTTTTGTCATCTTACCTCAATACTTTTTTTAACAGAATAATGATACAAATCAACCGGTGTAAAGAAAACAC